GGAGGCAAAGTGGAGAGAGGATCGGCATCTACAGGAGGTGCCGAAGATGAAACTCCTGGGACAGACCCCAAAGCCTCATCGTCAGCAGAAGAGGAACGACCGCTAGAAGAAGTCATTGAGGCCCCCTCGGTCTCCTCATCAACAAACTCCGACTCAGAAGAAACGACAAATTTTCCCATCAAAAGTTCAGATTGTAAGCCAAAATGAAGAGAGAGCAAATGCAAGGCGCAATTTGTCAAAAATAGAGGTTTCAGACACCATGCTCTAAAGAATAGTACCCTTGACATGGAAAGGTGATCTACAAACCGCGATAGGGAGGAGAGGTCGTCAGAATGTTCTCTAAAGTAGCTAAACCTCCAGATCAGGAAATGAAACCCAAAGCCCCACCAAGGAGGGTTGAATGGATCCAGGTCGAAGGAGTAAAGAAAAGAAAGAGAAGACGTACGTAGTGAAGTGCTAGAAGCAGAAGAGAACCGGAGATGAAGATGCTCTAAGTCGCCAAGAGGCCTGGAACAAGACGCCTCAGAAATCAAAAGGAAGGAAGAAGACACGAGAGAGAATTTCAAAGGGCACGAAACTTGAAAAGGCAAAAAAGATTTCCCTTTATACGCAACATTTAAGCCATGGCAAGACTGATGACAGGACACACAAAGGAACCGTCCCATCGGGCTCATCCACTAGCGACATGTGTACCAGGCATAACCAGCAGACACCGACCCAGCCCAAAATCGGGTCAGACCCGATCACCAGATAGTTTCACTACACAAAGAAATAGAGTCGGATTCGGCATTTTCTAACCCCAGGTCAGAGATGACGTCATCATCTTGACCAAAGGCTGGGGGGCAACTAAATGGGACAGAATTTTAAGTATGGGCCGCCATGGCCATGGAGCCTAATGAACCCAGAGCATTCTGCTTCGGTTGTTGGCCCAAGGGAAGCATACCTAGCCAGCCCGTATCAAGAGGCCAAGCCCAAAAGGACCGGCGGCCCGACCCTAGCCGAAAGATAGCCAGAGAGGGAGAAGTCAAAACCCTAACCATAGACGCATCCCACCACGCCACGAGTCCCAAAAGAACAAGGGGACCATTTCTAAAACCTATGACAGTCACACCCACCTGCGGGGTGTGGTGGTGCGTAACGACCCAGGCACAATGGATACAGTAACGTCGGCTAGTAGGGTTTTACTTGCAGGGCAAGGATAGAAGGTCCCCCAGCAAAAGATAAGCAGGAGCTAGATAAGAGGAGCCGAAACCCCTCCAGGGCGTTCTAACACCCAAGAATGCATGAGTTAGAATATAACTTCCTGTAATGGCCCAACGCCTGTAATGCTACTTACTTCAGAAAAGAATCAATATATAGGCTCAAGGAGCAAGAGACTCCATTGCAGTGGATGTAACCTCAGTCCATCGGCTGGGGTGAACCACTTAACTCCTGTGCCTCTCCCTACCGATTAGGCTATCTCTCAGTTCTCACCACCTAAATAAAACTCATCAACTCCCTGTCCACAACCGGACTTGGGCCATAATTTCCGAGACCTCATCACCAAACATGATATTTTATTTATCTCTCCAATTTTTTATCCTTTCAATTTTTCATCCTTTTTTTTTTTTTTATCATACTGAACGTAGCATTAAACTGTTTATGGGATACTCGAAGCAAATCTAAATGGCTGTCGCCTGCATGAGAAAGTATACACAGATGGTAGACTGAAATGACAAATGAGATTAGAGGGAAGAAAGGAAGCTGTTTTAAAGTTGTCCTTGTAATAAGGGGGGGGTATCATGTGAGGTTTATCGTGTCTAAATTTATTTAATTCATACTTGTATTATTGTTGATTGATTATAACTAAATTCATATATTTTTTTAATTGTGATAGTTGAATTCATATTTTTTATCTCGATTATGATTTAAACACATTAAAATTAATCTCATATTCAATAATTTTGAATCCATTTCATTTCGGTTGACAAATTGTGTTAAATAGAGTAAATTACACATATGATCATCAAATTATAATCATTGTATCAATTAAGTTCCTAAATTTTTTTTGGTCAATTGAACTCCTGAACTTTTTAATTGTGTCAATTGAATCATTTTGTCTGCCTCCATTAAAGCGTTCCACTCACGTGACTATATGACAAAAAAAATAGAAAGACTTAATTGATGCAATTAGAGAATTGGACGGTTGAATTGACATCCAAAAAAAAAAAGCTAAGGATTTAATTAACACAAAAAGTCATAGTTTGAGAGTCATATATATATAGTTTACTCCAACTCATTTGTATCGCGTGAACGACATACTTTGTCACTTTCCATTAGGAAATCTAAAAGAGATCAACAACGGGCTCAATTGATACAATTAAAAAATTTAGAGATTTAATTGACACAAACAAAATGTTCAAGAACTTGATGGATACAAGAGTCATAATTTGAATGTCAGTTTCTTCTAAAAAAACATAATCATCATTTGTACAATAAATTTGCCAATTTTATCCATATAATCCCGAAAATAGTATGTCAGACCGGGGAAATCCATTAAAGCAAGATTGTGAGATGTGAGCCGAATTTTTTTCACTTGTACAACAGCAAAGTGCTTGATCCACCAACTTAAACCACCTATTTCTGGTTCTAACTTCCTAAGCAGGCTACAAAGGAATTTGTGGTTTGAGCTATCTTCCTCTCCAATCTCGTACCTTTGTTTTTTTCTGGTGGATGGAAGGTTAGTCCAAGCTTCTTATTATTGCCCATAACTTAATCACTGGTGTCAATAGAAACTCCAACAAACAACTAGCTGTCCTTTAAAGGAACTCATATTTTAATTTAATCAACTAACTTAATTTTAACCTACACTTATTGGTATTATTGGATTGACAACAAACCCTTTCTGATTTTAGAATCCGTTGCTAATCTAACAACAACGTAGATTTGACCAATAAATTGGGTCATGTAATTAGATGAAAGTAGCAGTTTTTGTAGGGATCTTTCTAAGATTTTTGTTTATCTCGGGTTAAGTTAAGCATTCATACGACTAACAAAATACAAATATAAACTCATAAATATTTTTTATTTTTAGGAAAAGAGTAAATTTTATTGAATGAAATCCAAAATTCCAAGAAGCAAAAACAGAAACTGTTAAGTGAACAGTAACTGTTTTAATAGTGTGAACAGTAAATTGTACAAAATACAGAAAAATAATTGTTTTGTTATCTGGTCTTGCAACTGTTTTGGTCTTGCAACTGAGCTGTTTGAATATCAACAGGACTTGTTTATACAAAATATATCATTCTTTACTACTGTGCGGCTATTATTAAAGCTTGCAAATTTGAATGTTTATGAAACATTTTTGTTGCTCTGTCAATTTTATATCATTGGAAAATACGGTAACATCTGATTTACAAGAAACAATGGTCTGTTCTTCTTTTTACGCTGAATTGAAAATTGATTTAGTTTGACTGCTCAAAGCTTGCAAATTCTCTTCTTGGGAAGAACTACATTCCAATCAGAACCTGCAAATTAGCATCGTCTCTGATACTAAATTCGAATGATTTATGACCTAAGTTCATCTTAAATTAATAACCTAAGTTCAGGTTCAACCTAGCATTTGATCAAACAGCTTGTGGGCATTTTAACGAAGAGCAAAACCAAACAAATAGAGACAGAGAGACAGACATACGAAAATGAAGAGCAAAACTAAACAAAGAGGGGGAGAGGAAGTGGACGTGATGAATCATATCTGTTGGGGTTGGGCGCGCGCGAGAGAGAGAGAGGATGGTGTTTGCACAGAAGAAGGATGGGGGAGGGTGTTTGCGTTGAAGTGACAACCTGAGAGAGAAGAGACTGACATGATTTTGGGGAAAGTGCTGACCGCCTAAGAGAGAAGATACTGTCAGCATGTATTCGGCATGATTTTGGGGGAAGTGACTGAGAGAAGAGATCCTTCTACCGTCTGAGAGAAAGAAGAGACCGATTTTGGAGAATTTGCAGGTAGCCGTTGCTTTTGGTGTTGGGTTAGTTGGAAAATTGGGCTAATGAAAAAATTGTTTAGTGGGCTGCTATGAAAGTGATAAAAAAAAAAAAAATTTCACTCAGGGCTTCAGCCAACTAATAGCTCCGTCCCCGTTTGCTACTGTACTTCCCTGTGTACGTTTTCAAGCCATACCATGCAGTCTCATGTGTTCGGTTATTTTCAATTTCATTTTGTTGTTTATTTGTGATCTCGTGCAAAACAACAATTCAAAATAAATCATGAATTGAGAGAAACCTCAAACCTCTAAAGCATTTATGTAATTCAGTCTATCCAGATCATAACAACTGCTATAATTCATACCCAAAATGGAGCATGAAAATAAAATTAAGCTTTTGATTTGAAGCTTTTTGGCTATAAGATAGTTGATGCCAACGTTGTTAAAAACACCACAGGCAAGGTCCATTGAGATGGCCTAGAAATGAAACTATTCACAGCTACATAGAACCCAGCCAACCCATTTTTGCAACACAAACTAGGAATCAAGTTGATAATAGCCTGAAGAGTACTGCAAGAAAGAAGCTAATGGGGCTTCAACCCTGCCCCATCTCAATCAAGGATGGCATGGCATGGCATGAGTACCTGTAGGCCACAAGGGCTTGTGGTCTGAAAAATTCAGTTCTCATCATTGGACTGGGGGAAATGCAGAAGTATCTCTCCTCTTAGACCAAAGATTATGTGCGGACACTGCCGGGGATTGAATGGAAACCAAAAGAAAAACCATCAGTAACACTGGACGCTGGAAAGGCCCATTCTTCCCCCAATGTCCAATTAGCATGAATTTTATTTTCTGGAATCCTTGCTCTTGACTCAAACTAAGTTTCAAAACATTTTTCTCCTTTCGGCTTGTTTTAGATGGCAGTATTTACAAAAAGTAAAAAGTGGATCAAATATCGTCCCCCCACCCCCCAAAAAAAAAACGAAAAGAAAACTATCGAAATGTCAATGACAAGTGAATCACATATTGTTCACCACCCAAAAATTATCAAACACTTGAAAGAGAAGTGATTGGTCCTTATATCAGAAGATCTGCAATTCCTTCATATTGCCTATTTTACACAGTTCGCTGGAACCAAAATTGTAAACCACAACAGTGGCAGAGGCCAATGATTGGAGCTCTGTTTCCGCTGTCTACCCCTATCTGAGTGATTGCCTCTACCAAGTTCAATAGAATTTCTCAGGTTCCATTACCAAAGCAACGAGGAGACACATCAAACAAGCTCCATAGAACGAATACAAGTACAAAAATATGCTAAACAATTTATGGACCTACTACAAGTAATTAGTACATGCTACAGCAATTACATTTAGTAATCAAAGCTTGCTTCTTTTGACAATCATCTCAAGTTCCCAATGCTGGCTCTGAACTCTTTACCCCTCTTAAGAACCAAGTTGCAGCAAACCCAATGAATTTTCCCAAGTGAAAGAAGAAGCATTTTTGATTAATAACTAAATCTAGTATCTAGCCAGTTCTTCATTCATGGCTTGTTATTTACAAGAAAAGATCTCTGCTTTCTGCAATAATTTCCTCTTATGCCAACGGAAATGCCATCAGCAGCACAAAATTCCATCCAAAATCAGAGCTTCATCTTGTATTGGTCGAAAAATGCTATTTGAGGATGTAATTCGGGATTGTAATTTTTATAGCGGTAGTTGGTCAGGTCCTCCCAATTAGATCTCATAACATTGCTCATATTCCTATCGGAAATTACCATCTAGCCGTTCCATTTTGATCATCCAAAACCCAAGCTCTCCCACTCCTCCTAAGATACCTACTGAAAATCGAACCAGAATGGCTCCGGCTTCTAGTAATCGAAGACCGAGACTCCGAAATACCAGAACGCGATGAAGAAGACGACCTAAATCTCCTAAAAACTGAGAATAGATTACCGAAAACCCTACCAAACCCACCACCACCACCACGTCTTCCTCTACTCCTCCTCGACCCCCACATGATCCTCCTCGGAGCACCACCTCCATTGTTGAACCCACCATCCATTTCTGTATATACCACGGGCAACTCTCTATCCCCAGCACTCATTCGCCCAGAAAACCTACCAACTGCAAAACCCCCTCCTGGTAATCTCCATATCGTCAACCCCACCGCCTCTTCTTCACTCTGCTCTCTGGACCCATCTCGATTAGTATCAAATTCAGACCCATTAGTGGCCTCAGTGGGCAATTCATGTCGACAAACGGGACACGAATTGCGAATCGAAAGCCATGGTAGAATACAGTCGGAGTGGTAAATATGCTTACAGGGCATTTCACGAGCCTCGGATCCTAGAACAAACGCTTCTTTACAGACTGCACAGTGAGACTCGGAATATACATGTTTGGCCACGATTTCGATCGTTGGCATTGATTCTATCGCTGTTTTCGACGCCGGAGGCTGTTCAGATCGGCCGAAACCGTTCACTTCTATCTGCGCTAATTGGTCGAGCAATCGATCAAAGCCCGAAACCATCAAAAACTCTGATATCGTCGATGGCAAAGGTCGAAGGCCCGAACCGGCACCGTCATCGTAGTACAATTCGAGATTTCTTTCTGTGTTACTTCCTCCGCCTTCGTCGCCGGTGGTTTCGGGTGGGCCACGGAGGACTATGACCGGATTGAATGGAGATCTTTCACCGTTGTGTCTGCGGCTACGGCGAATCCCTATATTTGGTGTTCGGTCGGAATCTGAAATGGGGAATGGGCGACGAGAGTCAGGCGAGGAGGCGGGGTCCACTGCTTCGATGAATCCGCTATCGCAGAACGGACAGACGGCGTCGTCTTGGACACGAACGAAGCGAGTGCATCGGTAACACCAAAACGGCATCGTTGTTGTCGTCGTCGTTGACATCCTCACAGCGAACCCGTATGTGGCAGATCTGATCAATTACAGAAGCAGTAACCCACCGGATATGATAGACTCGTGGGTGTGTAGACACTTGAGAGAGAGAGAGAGAGAGAGAGAGAGAGAGAGAAGGCAAGTTAGCGTGTGTGTGATTGAGAGAGAGAGATGGGCAATGGGAACCGAGGTGGAGGACTTTAAACACGCGTGATGACGGATGTGCTAACGGCGAAGGAGCGGCTGTTTTTATCAGCGTGTGGGCCACGCGTAACCGAGGAGCGCATATTAACCTGTGGGTTGCCACGTGGCGGTAAATTTTGGTAATTAACAAATTAGTAGAAAATTCCCTTTAGGGACATGAGGTATTTCTCAGAAAGAACAGAAATAAACTTTAACACCCCGATCTAAAAAAGGTATCAATCAGTCATTTTGTGTCATGGTCGTCTGGTCTTGATGATATCGTGTTAATTTTATTATTTTATTTATAATTATAGACAATCATGTACATGTTTTATTAACATCGAGCATTCTACCATGCACAGTTTATCCTTCTCTTTCCAAACTTGTCTTTTATTTTTTACTCTTTTATTTATTATTTTATAAGTTAATAAAAATATTATAAAAACTATTGAATTATAAAATTTAATGTTTAAGAAAATTTAAAATAAGTTGTGATTAGATAGAGTTTATGGGTAATTATTTATGTTATTATTTTGGAGATATTTGATAGATATGATTGAATAATAAGAAAGTTTTTTTTTGACTTCAAAGAATAATAATTCAAAATTCTTAAAAATTTAAAAAATGTACGGGAAAAGATTTTTAAAGTCATCTTCCTAAAACGTTGATTGTTTTATATATATACACTGTACTGTGGATAAGATTGTTTCACTTTTAACAAGTTTGGATCTTATTTAGTTGAATTTTTAATAATTTATTTATTCAATAGGTATAATAAATATATTAATTTATTATTTGAACTGGTAGGAGTAAAATAAAATTTGCAAATGGTATTTTATATTATCAATTGAACTTAGTATTGTTTTTGGCAATCCATTGGGCAAACAATGAATTAGTATTATCGCATGGTATAACTATTCAACCCAATAATCTATATAATAAAGTATAAGATAATTTAAATTTTAAAAAAAATAAAATAATTTTTATTTTTTACAATTAAAATCGTTTTTAAATTTATTTAAATCTGATACGATTGTTGGCATTAGTCTCTAAGAAAAAAATTCCCGCCCAAGTCTCTCTTACGTGACTCTCTCTTACACCTCTCTTTTCAAGCCTATTCTCTCTCTCTCTCTCTCTCTCTCTCTCTCTCTCTCCTCTCTCTGGCTGACCAGCTACCTCTCCACTCCCACCGACGTGCCTCTTTTTTCTCTCTTACCTCTCTCCCTCTTCTCTGCCATGGATTTACCCACCACCGTGATTTGAAGAAGCAGAAAACAATGAATAACCTCCACCGAAATTTGAAGAAGCAATTGTCATGGATTTGTTCCTCTAGGTAATCTCCTCTCTCTCCAACTGTCTCGCTCTCTCTGCCTTCATCTTTCTCCACCCGCACACACACACACACATACACGTAGAACACACGAAGTCGCATACACACACAAAGTTGTAAACACACACACACACGCCAACATAATAAATACAACTCCGCGACCACATTCACACACACACACACACCTGCACAGAATAATACATTCAATGCAGCACACATCACAACCACATTCATTCACATTTTTGTAGCTAATTGAAAGTTAAGGCTTTCAAATTGTTTTCAATTTGGGTGTTAATTTTAATTGGGTATCAATTGAGTGTTAATTAGGGGTGTTAATTTCAAATTGAATGTTAGGGTTTTGATTGAATGATTTTATTGTTATCAAATTGAATGTTATGGTTATTTGTGGGTTTCCATGTCTATAAGGTTAATTTGTGGGTTTCAATGAAATGTAGGCAACTCAGACCCTAGTCATTGGATCATCACAGCTGCTGCTGTTAAAATCCTTAAGACTCATGATCATAACTTGTATGCGTGATATATTCCTTGTGTTGAACCAGCCAAAAGTCCAAAACTCAACCATTTATTACTCAGCCAATGTGGGCTTTGGAGTGCAACGATGCATGGAAGCGTCTACGTGTAATGTGATGAACAGAGCTTTTCAGTGGCAAAGCAATAGTCTCAAGCTTTATTGAGAGAGAAAAATGCCAGGGACATGGTGAAGTTTCTGTTAAAATGGAGGGAAAGATAGTGAAAGTTGGTGAAGTAGTTTTTGCAACTATGTTTGACATGATGGGAATGTTTTGATATCAAGAGATTTTATCAAAACTTAGGGGAAGACAGTGTGGATGGAGGGATGAAAGGTCTTCTAAAAAAAAATCATGCAAGTGGCCGCAACTCCAAATTTACCAGAATGTCATTTGAAGATGGTTTAATTAATGGATTGAAGATGGTTTTATGGTAAAGCTAATTGTTGAGGATTAATTTTGGGGTACTCACCTGTTGTTTGGAAAAAAATTTAGATGCAATGGTTTAAAGTTGTTGCTCCTCAAGTTGTTGCTACTCTAATTTTATTTCTGAGTTCTATGGAAACTTGGAGGCATTACATGTTCAAGCATGGGTAATCTGCAACCTGGAGGCATTATAGCTTCAGTTAAATTTGATCCCATTTGGTTGTGGTTGTCGTGATCTACATGGATGTTTAACTTCTTTGATATTCTTACAGTGTTGATCAGTGAAAAAAATTTTAATTTGTTGGTTTAAATTAGATTAGGTCATGTGAGAAAAATTTATGTTTGTCGTAGAGAAAAATTCGCATTTGTTTTCGCTTCTCTCTGTGTATATAAGTGCATAATTTTTATATGCATTATTTGTAACTGTGCACTTCGTCGAAGGTTTTAGCGAATTAGGATGGAATTACAAAAAAGAACAAAGTTGATATCTAGAATCATAGTTTTCAATGTGAAAATGGAAATACAAAGAGTATTTTGATGGTTAGTATTAGGGGATTGACCTCATTGTAGGGAAATAAATGTCTTTCATTTTGCTTATTAACTATCAAAAAGCATAATTTACATTGCAAATTCTAATTTTGCTCGATTGATTTTATCTTTCAAACCCAATAAAAGTGGTAGTTTTATGTTTCATTAATTGTAGTTGGCAAAAAATGGAAATGAATATCGTGTCAATGAGGAATGAATTAATAGCTTTTTAAGGGTAAGATGATAAAATATGTATATTGTGTATAAATGTATTCAAATTTTTTGAGTTATGTTTTGAGAGAAATTTTTTCCATTTTTTTTATATATTCATCAGTTTTATACACTTATTTATTATTATTATGTGTATCATTTTTTTTCTTGCTAAAGTTTTTTTTTTTTTAATAGTTAATTTTTTTTATTGCACAGTATTTTCAGGCATGGGTAAATACTAATAAATTAATAAATTAGTAAGTAAATTCTAATTTTTTTTTCATATAAGTATCCTATATCTGAGATAGCAATAGTCTCATGAATAAAAGTATAGTTCAACTTATCTATTTATATATTTATAATTAAATAAATGGTTATAGTAAGTGACAACAGTAATGTGACCTAACTATTATAATGAATATTTTGTCTTTTAATGTGGATGATTGGTTGGTTAATTGAAATTACGCTAAGGAAAGGCAAGAATGAAGCCGAAACGCGCGTGGGTAGCCGGCTGGGTTTGATTTACAGGAGCGCGTTGACCCAGCGAGGAAATGAGTATCAAAGATTGGACCACCGAGTTTGACTGTCAAAAAAACAATATAGACGCCGATTTTTACGCAAGAAGATTCCTAACGAGGCAGCTTCTTTGCAATGGTGCATGGAGCTAATGGTGTTGCATTACTCCTCTACAACCGTCTTCACCGTAGTTTCCGGACACTTTCACCTTTCTCTTTTTCTCTTCTTGCTGTCAAAAAGTCTTTGGAAAAAGAACAGAACTACAGTAGTGTGACTCACTACATTTGGTGGCAATAGATGCGGACGCAAATACTATTTGAGGATATGGAATGATGAATATAACCAATACCCTTTAACTTCTATTTTCTCTTTTTTTTCAGTCTTTCTATGACCATACAAGTGCAACATTTTAAGGCATCGACTTTTTCTGCAAAGGAAAGAATATATCTTTTTTTTTTTTCTTTCTTTCTTGGTTGGCCCATAATATGCTTGATTGATAGACAGGGCTTTCAAAATCTGCAACAAAACAACTCTACCATGGCTGTACTCATTACTTATTCACATTTTACTACTATCATCTTCAAGGTCTTTTTAAAGGCTGTGCTAGGCACTAGAGGCACTAGTTTATGAGTGATGATTGATAAAGAGTGTAAAGAAAAGAGAACTACATTTACAGAAGCTTAAAAGCAAAATAGCTAGATGGAATCTTAAAGCTTTCCCAATGCAATATTATTGCCTTTCTATGAGTCTGTTTTCTCCTGGCTTTTAGCTGTGAAAGTACTTTTTAATGGAATAAATTGAGCTATAAAAATCCCAAAAAATCCCATGTCTGCCTTTTTTTTCTTTTTCATTTTTTTGAAAAGGACACAAAGAAAGAAGTGTAGATAAGCATAGGATCATGAGCCACTTATAAACCAGTAAAATAATGATATTTAAGAGAAATTTGGAAATGGGTTCCTATAGACTTATTTAGACTTAAGTCTGCCAAAAAAAATTATTTGTTATGACGTCTATTTTTTGTCAATTTTACCCAGATTATCTCTTCCATTTAGAAGTAAAGTACAACTAAAAATTAAAAACTCTTAAATTTTAGGAGTTTGACTAATATTAAATTTTAGTTTATTATTATATCTCTATATATATATATATTAGTCATAACTCGTGCCTTCAGACACGATAAAATTTAAAATTTGAGTGTCCAAAAAATTGATCTCATTATATTACATTTTTTCAAAATATATTACCTACAAATTAATTAAATATTAAATGATAAAATATATGATAAAAATGAGTAGTGTGATATTTTTAGAGAATAAATATATAAATAATTAAATATGTGATAAAAATGAGTGATGTGATTTGACGTTTGAATCTTAGGTGAGGTAAGTGATTGATGATGATTTTAAGGAAAAAAATATGACTATGATAGAATTCAAACACACTGCTATTTTAT